AGTTTGTTATGATCTACACAGTCAAATGCCTTTGCATAGTCAATGAAACACAGATAGACATTCCTCTGGTATTCCCTGTTTTCAGCCAAGATCCCTCTAACATCAGCTACAATATCCCTAGTACCAGGACCCCTTCTACATTAAAAAAAAAGTCATTAAAAAGACAGGAAAGAAAGCATCAAATGAATGTCAGAAGAGACTCTGAAACTTACAGCTGTAGAGTTGAGAGTAGCTAAAGCAAACAGAAGAAATTATGACATGAAAGCTCAACAGAAGGTATCCAAGGTGTTCACATCATTGTCTTTGTGTCACATTTTGGTAATTCTCTCAATATTTAAAACTTTTCATAATGCTAGTGCACCCTCCCAGTTGTTTCCAGATAATCTTCAGCAGAATATTGCTTGTATGTGCTATCAATGATATTGTTCGATAATTTCCAACTCTGTGGGATCACCTTTCTTTGGAATGGGAACAAATATAAATCTCTTCCAGTCAGTTGGCCAAGTGGTTGTCCTCCAGATTTCTTGACACAACTTGGTGAGCACATCCAGGGCAGCATCTGTTAGCTGAAATACGTCAATTGATATACCATCAATTTCTGGGGCCTTATTTTTTTGCCAATTCCTTCAAAGCAGTTTGAACATCTTCTTTCATCACTTTAGGCTCTTGCTCATATGTTGTTTCATGAAATTCTTTTGTGTCTGTCAATTTCTTTCGGTACAATTACTCTGTATACTCTTTCCATCTTCTTTTAATACTTCCTGGATCATTTAATGTTCTGCCTAAGCATCCTAAGTGTAGCATCTCAAGGTTTGAATTTGTTTTTCAGTTCCTTAAGCTTAAGAAAGGTTGAGCGAGTTCAGCCCTTTTGATTTTCTGACTCCAGCTCCTTGCACATTTCATTGTAATATTTTACTTTGTCTTCCCACGCTGCCTTTTGTAATTTTCTGTTCAGCTCCTTAATTTCTTGATTTCTTCCCTCTGCTTTGGCTTCTCAGCATTCTAGTGCAATATTCAGAGTCACTTCTGACATTCATTTTGTCTTTTCTTTCTCCTCTGTCTTTGTAATGACCTTTTGCACTCTTCCTGGATGATACTCTTGATATCCTCCCACAACTCATCTGGTCTTCACTTATGGCATTCAAGGCCTCAAACCTGTTCCTGAGATGGTTTTGAAATTCAGGTGGGATAGACTCAAAGTCATATTTTGGTTCCCATAGATTTGATTGAATTTTCCTTAGCTTCACCTTGAACTTGCACATGAGTAGCTAGTGGTCTGTTCCACAATCAGCACCTGGCCTAGTTTTCACAGTTGATATTGAGCTTCTCCAGCAGTTCTTTCTATAGATGTAATGGATGTGTTCTATATCCATACCTTTTCAACATATATGCAGAACAGATTATCTGGGAGGCTGGGCTGTATGAGGAGAAGTGTGGCATCTGGGTTGGAGAAGATTCATCCACACTCTGTGTTATGCAGATGACAACCCTGCTTGCTGAAACTGAGGAGGACTTGAAGTATTTACTGCAGAGGGTCAAGGACTGCAGCCTTCAATATGGATTGAGGCTCAAAATCAAGAAAACAAAAATCTCACCACTGGGCCAACTGGCAGCATCAGGATGGATGGAGAAGAGACTGAGATTGTTAACAGTTTTAGTTTGCTTGGCTCCACAGTCAACACTCTTGGCACCAGCAGCCAGGAAATTAAAAGACACATTGCAATGGGAAAGTCTGCTGTTAGGGACCTCTCCAATGTACTGAAGAGCAATGGTGTCACTCTGGAGACTAAGGTGAGCCTGATACAGGCCATGGTCTTTGCAATCACTCCCTATGCGTCAGAGAGCTGGACAATGACTAGGGAGGACAGAATAATTGATACCTTTCAGCTGTGGTGTTGGAGAAGAGTATTGAATATACCATGGACTGCTAGAGTTAAACCATGCTGCTGCTGGGAGGCAAGGATTCTGAAGCTTCGTATGACATACTTTGGACATGTTGCAAGGAAGGACCAGTTCTTGGAGAGGGATGTCATGTTAGGGAGGGTGGAGGGACAGCATAGGAGAAAATGACCCTTATTGAGGTGGATTGATTCAATGACTGGGGTAATCAGGATGAGTGTGTTGGAGACAGTGAGGTTGGCACAGGATAGAGCAGGGTTTAGGGCTGTTGTACAAAGGGTCACTATGAGTCACAGGCGACTCGATGGCACAGAACAACAACAGTGCATCCTTCACAGATTACAATGTAGTGCAAACATAATGTTCATGTTGTTGCTTATATGCCTGAGTTGAGTATCACTCATAGCAACCCTGTGAACAGGAGATCTGAACTCTGACCTAGGCTGTGTTATTCTCACCATCTCCAACACACTTGAGCCTTCTGTTAGTTACTGCATCAATTCATCTTGTTGAAGGTCCTCCTCTCTTTACCTTTCCAAGCATGATGTTCTTCTCCAAGGAAAAGACCCTCCTAACTACATTCCCAAATTATGTGAGGTGGTTTTACTATCCCTGTCTCCAAGGAGAACTCTGGTTTCACTTTCTCCAAGACAGACCTGTTTGTTCTGTTGGATGTGCATGAGATGTTCAATATTCTTCTCCAACACTACAACTCAAAAGCATTGATTCTTCTTCTGTTATCTTTATTCATTGTCTGATTTTCAGATGTATAGCAAGCATCTGAGAAGACCATGGAATATGCAATAAGAAAGCAAAAATGTATGTGATTTGTTTCATTGGGATATTATCTTCATTTTAGCAGTCTGAAACAGGACGTGCAATATCTCTGAGCTATATCTGAGTACAGTGGATTTCCAGAATAATAAACATGTTTGTCTTAGCAGAAGAACAGGCAGAATGCTTCTGAGAATGAGGATGCTCAGCCTTCAATACATGCATGATATGTTATTGTTGTTGTTATTATGTGCCTTTGAGTTGCCTGTGATCCATAGTGATCATGCTGTACCCTAGGTACAGCAGCTCTGAACCCTTTCCTGTCCTGAGCTAGTGTCACCAATTCTGACACACTAACCTCCATTGCCCCAGATACTGTATCAATCCATCTCATCCAGGGTCTTCCTCTCTACCCTTCTGAGCATGATATCCTTCTCCAAGTACCAGTCTCTCCTGACCACGTACCCAAAGTATGCAAGATAGCACCTAGCCTCCAAGAATAGACTTGGTTTCACCCTTTATCTGTTTTCTTGGCAGTCCATGGTGTGTTCAAGACTTTTCTCCAGCACAATAACTCAAAGGCATCTTCTACTATGATCCTTAGTCATTGTCCAGCTCTCTAAAGCATAACAAGTAATTGTGAAGACCATGGCCAAGATTAGGCACATCTCAGTCTCTAGACTTACATTATTGCTTTTCAGCACTCTGGAGAGGTCTATGACAGCAGATTTTCCCAATGCAATTCATCTTTTTATTTCCTGACTGTTGGTGTTAAGAGTGTAGATTATGGAGCTGAGCAAGCTGTAATTGCTAATAACCTCAATCTCTTCTCTATCTATCATCATGCTGCCAATTGGCCCAGTGGCGAGAATCTTTGTCTTCTCAATCCATATTGAAGACTGCAATCCTTGACCTTCTGCAGCAAGCACTTTAGTCATCTTACGTTTCAGTAAGCAAGGCTGTGTCATCTGCATATTGTAGGTTGTTGATGAGTCTTCCTCCAATCTTGATGCCACATTCCTCCTCATAAAGCCCTGCTTCCCAAACGATCTCTTCTGCATACAGACTAAAAATGTATGGGCACTCCTTTCCTGATTTTGAACCATGCAGTGTTTCCTTGCTCTGATATGTTATTAGGACCTATTAATAAGAGCTATCAGTCCATCCCTGGAGAAGGACATCATGCTTCGTGAAGTAGAGAGTGGGTGAAAATGGAGAAGACCCTCACAGACATGGACCGACGCAATGACTGCAGGCATGGGCTCAAACAGCAGGATCGTGAGGATGGGAGGGGCCAAGTGATGTTTTGTTTTGTCCCACACAGGGTCGCTATTTGTCATAACCAGCTCAACAGCACCTAACAATAACACATAAATGAGAATTTATCACTTTTGTATTTGCCTCTTACACAAAGCCAAAATCATGAAAAACCAGAGCGGTTTCTCTCTTGCCCCCACTTCACGTTGTTTTTAGACCAGAATACCTTAGCAAGTTGTGTGATTCTCTGTTTCAACTTGAAATGCTATAGTTTGGTGTATGTAAGAGAAACAGTTCGAGGCTAAATTTTTCTTTTTCTGGGTCTATGTCTAAAGTCTTAGGGTTTGGACCCAGCATCTGTTATAAAGCTAAACAACTAAGAACCACACGTGCATACACAAATGCAATCTGCAGCAAAGGATATCTTGTCATCTCTTCAACCTCTTCTCTACAATGAGAACTTAGAACATCCCTCCTTCCCTACCCGTTCCACCTCTTTTTGCAAAGCATAAATAGCATAGTGCTTATGAAAAGAGGTTAAAATGCAACTCATTCAAACTGCCAGTAATTACAGAAATGATCTTCTGAATTCTGAATGCTTAATGAGTGTCAGCGATTTGCCTCTAATTGCTTTTACCCAGGACTCCCAGCTGGAAAGAAGGCTTACCTAGCTACACCGGAGGCTCGGGACAGCAGCACGCACAGCAGCAGCACTAACACCCAGAGCAAGGCCAAGAGGAACACACCCGTGCCCACTCCGAGCACGGTGCCAGCCATCCTGTGGGAGAGAGGACGTGTCAGCACGCTCGGGACCTGAAAGCACCAGTGACCTCTCCCCCCCCCAATACTGACTGCCTTCCTCACATCCTGGTTCTTCCTCAAACACGCAATGTTCAAACTAATTACGGGGAAGTTTTCAATGATTAATGTGTTAGAGGGATTAAGAATCTACACAGGTCACTAATGGTCAGTCTCAAGGCCCCTTAATATCCCAAACCCCCAAAACCAAACTTGGAACCCCAGAACCAATGCTATCAAGTTGTTTTAATTCATAGGACATAACACAAGCCTCCCCCTGAATAGGTTTTCCAAGGCTGTAGGTCTTTAAGCTGGCCTCTCCCTTGATGGAAAACCCCAACTAGACTGTGGATCAGCACGAGGGAACTCACGTGCCGAGGTGGAAGCTGAAGCTCTCCGGTTATGCAAAGTCACGAGGCATCACAAGGTGGAAATGTCCAACTCTCCGGCCACTCTCCACTCAGCGTCCTTGAACAACAACCATGGCAGTCATCACTGTTATGGACATGTACTAAATACTTCATAAACATGCCTCACTTAATCATGGCAATAACCTCAGGGTTTTATTACACATCTACCTCACAGAAAAGCAGGAATATATATTAGTATCCTAGTTGCTAGGAGAAGCTATTCCTTGGAAAGGAACATCGTGCTTGGAAAGGTGGCAGGTCAGTGAAGAAGAGGAAGACCCTCAACCACATGGACTGATACAGTGGCTGCAGCAATGGGCTCAAGTGTCTCAGAGATGATGAGGATGGCACAGGACAGGACGGGGTTCAGATCTCCTGTTCATGGGGTTGCTATGAGTCATACTCAACTCACTGGCATGTAACAACAAGAAGGGCTGCTGTAAAGGACCATTAGTGGTGGGGTGGTTAAAACACTTATCTACTAACCAAAAGGTTGGCAGTTCAACCCACCGGCTTCCCCACAGGAGAAAGCTGCCAAAGTCTGCATCTGGGAGCTCTGGGGCCCCACTGAGTCAGAAGTAAACTCACCAGAAATGGGCTTAGGGCTTCCCAACAAAATTCCACAAACTGCTGGGTTAAAATACCAGAACTGATTCTCTCGCAGTTCTGGAGATGAGAAACTCAAGTGAAAATATTAGCAGGCTACCTCCAGAAATCTCTATGTGAAAACCCTTTTCTGCCTTTTCTGACATCTGGGGTCTCCAGGTGGCCCTTGGCTTATGGCTGCAACACCCGTCTGTGCGTCTGTGTTCAAATGACCTCCTTTGTGGGTCTGTCTCTGCTTAGATCTTTTAGAAGATCACTAATCACTGAAGTTTAGGCCCATCTGGATAATGCAGGACGATTTCATCTCAAGGTCCTTAATTACTTAATAAAAACCTTATTTTAAAATAAGGTTGGGGGGTGGGCAGAGAGCAAAAAAAAAGACTATTATTTTATGTTTCTAACATAAGTGTTTTATGTCATTATGCCTTTTATAAGTGATATTAATACCAAGCTAATGAATAATTTTAATTTATATAGATTACAGACTAAAGAAAAATAGTATATTACTACAATGCAAAAATGTGATTGTATAAAATATAAAACAATACATTAATAAATTTGATTAATGAACTTTTTAAAATTTTTTTTATTATTATTAATTTTAATGAAAGTTTACAGAAACTGAGGATTTCCTTTCAGTCATTGTTGCACTTTTCTCCCTGCCCACGCCTCTCTTCCTCCAATTCGCTCTTCTCTTTGGAAAGTAAAAGAAAAATTCTTTCATTGTTATACAATCCCTCCCCCCAGGTCCACTCCACTATGCAGCCTTCGTTCTGGACTCCTGTCATGACAATAATACCTAATCACATATCCCTTTTAACAGTTTTCTCCCTCATCTGTTTCAAGGCAGTATACATTATTTATCCCATCCTGCTCGGTCTTCCCCCAACCACAATATCAGTCCTGTTTTACAACAGTGGCACTATGCAGTATTTGTCCTTTTGTGACTGAGATATTTCACTCAGTGATTAATGAACACTTAAAAAAAAATAAGGTCAGTCACAGGTTCTGCATGAAGAGAGTTTCCAGGGTACCGGTAATTTTGGAGGGCCATCACTGAACCCACTACCAGTGGCCTATGCCTGCCACACCCTCCTTCCATGCCAATCACCAAATCCTCCTGGGGAGGGGGAGGGTTTCCTTTATCTTAATGTTTGAAATACCATAAAAATTATTACCTAGGAAGATTTCAGTTACGAAGGTAGTAGAGCAAAGGCCTTAACCATAAACTACAACTAAAACCAAACAACCCAAACCATAAACTACTACTAAAACCAAACAACCCAAACCTAATGTCGTGAGCATGTAAAAGCATTGTGCTGAAAATAAGGGATCAATAAATGAGACACACCTTCTAACTGACAGAGGCCTGTGGTCATTGGCATAAACAGTTATCCACCCCATATTCTGATTAGGGGTAAAAACAAAGTGCCATGGTAACAGACAGGATTCAGAGACAAGCTTGACACAGGAGACAGCGTTGGGGGGGAAGGAGCAGTGGAAAGGGGAGGGGTGACAAGAGACGAGGTGTAGTATGGGAGGCCTGGCTCTGGACCTCTCTCATCTCCCTGGGAGCATCTGCTCCCTCATTAGACCCACACAGGTTCCATCCCCAGCATGCCAAGTTCTCCCCACCTCTCTTTGTTGTTTGCACTGTTTGGAATTACCCTTCCATCCCAAACATGTCAGCTGCTATGGGGCTGATTCTGACTCATGGTGACCCCATATGTGTCAGAGCAGAGGTATGTTTTGTATAATGAAAGATACACAAGTGCATGCCAGTCAGCGTGCTCCAGGATGGTCCCAGAACAGAAAAGGATCAGTTTTTCCAGCAAGCTTTTCTTCCTCAATTGCACACAGACACCACTCCTCTTAAGTGCTCGCAGAGGTCCTTAATAGCAGATTTTCCCAGAGCAACATATCTTTCGATTTCTTGACTCTTGTTCCCATGGCTGTTGACTGAGGACCCAAGTAAAATGAAATTGTCACTAACTCCTTTTTTAAAAAAAATAATATCCAAAGCACTTTATTGAAGAGTTGGAAAGGCCGTGAAATTCTTCTCAAAAACTGCTTCTGTCACTAACTCCTTTAAATGGCTGCTTTTAGGCCTCAGACACTACCTGGTTCTTCTTAGAAGAAGTGAAAAGAGGGTGTTCCACAGAGGCAAGATTGATGACACTGCCTCTTACATACTTTAGGCCTCTTGTCAGCAGGGTCTAGTCCTTGGAAAAAGATATCAATCACGCTGAGAAAAATGAAGGATAAAGAGAGGAAGACCTTATAAAGATGGACTAACACAATGACTATTACAATGGGCTGGTGCATGCTGGAGATTGTGAGGATGGAGCAGGAGAGGACAAGGTTCTGATCTGTTGTTCACAGTGTTGCTGTGAGTTGTAGTCCATTCAGTGACATCTAACAACTGACCAGTCTGTGCAGAAGAGAGCATTCCAACTTAGGTGTGATCAAAGGATTTAAAAATGGAAGTCTATGATTAAGAGGAGAGAATGGATGAAAGTCTAAAAGCAGAGGTACTTGGTTTGTGTGTAAATTGTATTTTAAATGTTACTGGGTTGTGCACAACTCATAGTGACCCTATGAACAACAGATCTGAACGCTGTCCTATCCTGCACCATCCCTGACACATTTGAGTCCACTGCCGAAGTTCATCTCACTGAGGCTCCTCCTGTCTTTCTCTGACCTTCCACCTTTCCAAGCATGATGTCCCTCTCCAAAGAATAAGCTCTCCTAGCAACATACCCTAAGTATGAAAGGAGAAACTTTGTCACTTTCACCTCTAAGGAGCAGTCTGGTTGCATCCTCTCCAAGAAATAGATGTTTATTCTTTTGGTAGTCCATTAGAAAATGGAGTCTTAAATCTATTGTAAACTCTTGACATGATTCTGTAATTTACAATGGATTTTGAAAAGTTGACTTCCGAAACGGCAATGCTTTTAATCTTGCTGCTGACTTCGGTCATATCCAACAACATTCCTTTGCTATGAGGTCCGGCCTATGTAGGACATCTAAACTATTCCCAAAGAATCTTTGTCAGTATAGACACACAGATGCAGGATGAGACAACTTGTGACTATGTTGTTGTTGCTGCTCTTGAGTCGGCTATAATTCATATCAACCCTATCAATAAAGGATCTCAACCTTGTTCTATCTTGTACCATCCTCATCATCTCTGATATACTTCAGCCCATTGTTTTAGTCACTGTGTTAATCTATCTTGTGGCAATTCTCCTGTCTTTCCCTGACCCTATACCTTTCCAAGCATGATGTCAGTTTCCAAGGATTGGCCCCTCCTAACAATGTGGCCAAAGTATATTAGACAAAGTTTCATCATCCTTGCACCCTGGTCACACTTTCTCCACTTTGTCCTTTTGGTATTTCATGGGTTAGTCAATACTGTTCTCCAAAATCATAACTCAAAGGAAGAGACTCTTCTCTTAATTTTATTTTTTTTTTCTAACTTTCAGATGCATAGCAAGTAATTGAAAAGATCATTGGTTATATCAGGTGCACCTTAATCTTTAAACTGACATCTTTGTTCTTTGGAGAGGCCTTTGACAGCAGATTTTCCCAATACAAGACTTCTTTTGATTTCTTGACTGCTGAGACCAAAGGTATTGATTGTGAATCCAAGAAAGATGAAATTATGACCATGTCAATCTTTTCTCCATCTATCATGATGTTGCCCTAATGGTTCAGTGGTGAGGAAATCTGTTTTCCTGATGTTGTAATATAATCCACATTGAAGGTTGTGGTCTTTTATCTTCTGTAGCAAGTATAATCTGTGTTAATGCAGATGATACAATCCTGCATGCTGAAACTGAGGAGGACCTCATGCACTTACTGCAGAGGGTCAAGGACTGCAGCCTTCAGTATGGACTGAGGCTCAATGTCAAGAAGACAAAGATTCTCACCACTGGACCAATTGGTAGCATCAGGATGGTG